TGATTCACAGCAGCAGTTTTCAGCCAGGAATAATTTTGCCCCCAGGGGACATTTGGTAATGGGTAAGACATTTTTCATTGTCACAACTGTGGGGGATGGCGTGCAGTGAGCATCCTGTGAATAGAGGCACTGGTAAACACCCTACAGCGCACAGGACAGCTCCCCATGGCAAAGAAGTGTCTACTCCAAAATGTCAATGGTGCCAATTGCTCTGTTGGCCAGGCTATAGTTCAGTGGCACAACCTCAGCTCACTGCAACATCCACCAGCGGGTTCAAGCAGTTCTCCTTCCTTGGCCTCCTGAGTAGCTAGGATTACAGGTGCCCGCGACCACACCCAGCTAGTTTTTGTAATTTTAGTAGAGATGGGGTTTTACCATCTTGGTCAAGCTGGTCTTGAACTTCTGACCTCGTGATCTACCTGCCTCCGCCTCCCAAAGTGTTGAGATCACAAGCATGAGACATGGCACCTGGTACCTCTTTTCTACCTCAGGTACTTCTTGATGGCCATGGAAGAACAGATTAACACAGGAACCCGGCCTTGAGAAATCAGGGGAGACCACTCAGAAGAGGTGACATCTGAGTCAAGTCCCGAGAGATCAATTCATGGAGAGTTCTGGGCTGGAGGAGCAGCATGTGCCAAGTTCCAGATGAGAAAGAGCTGGAAGTGGACTTTGGCTGGGGGCAGGGTGGGAGCAGGAGACGTGGAGAGAAAGAGGTAAGAGATGAGCTTGGGAGTTGGTGGGGGTTAATCCTGGAGGACCTGTAAAGTGGAACAGAGAAGCTGGGAGTCTGTTCTGGATGATCCAGAACCAGGACGGGGTCCTTGTAGAGTTTCAAGGCTGCAGCGCTGAACGTGAACCAAAAGGCGCTACTACAGTGGCAGGTAGGGAATGCTGGCTGCCCAAACAGGGGCCGCGTTAGGAGGTGAGAGAGAGATGGGTGGACACAAAAGACAGTTGCCAGGCAACATCAGTGGAACGTAGGGGCAGGACCTTTGGGGATATCTGCAACAGCAGGCAGGCGTGACAGCAATTCGTTTTCTAAAAGGTTGGTGAGAATGAACACGTAATAAAATGATATAATAAGAAAAAACTATCTTTGGTAAAATGTTGCCTCCCATTCCAGATCCCAGTCTGTGGTTGGCCTCACTCCTCCTGGGTGCGAGGGGACAGGGAAGACAATATGAGGATGCATCCTCTACTGTCATCCTCCCCGCTGGGGGCCGTGGCCCTCCACAGGCCAGCCCACAGTCTGTGCCTCATCCTCAGCTGTGGCCCCGGGAATGTCCTGCTGATTCATTCTGGCCCCATAGGCTTGGAAAGGTGTCTGCTCTGTCCTACTCATTTAAAGTCACCTGGCTGTCCTGGTAGTCATGGGGATGGAGTCAAACAGCAGTTCTCAACCTTGTCCTGCCACACCACAAGTAAATGACATTCCACGGGCAGCCACCTGCATCCAGCAGGAATGAGAATGCTGTGTGGACAATTCAGCGGCAGGTTACCTGCAATTCCTGGTACACCTGCTACACACCAAGGCATGCTGGGACGGACCACCCTGGCGTGAGCAGGATGATGGGATTGGCCACTCCAGCATGAGAAGCTGTGTAGATGAATGCCTGCACAGAGGTCCAAAAATTCCCCGAGACAGTCACTGTCCTTCCCTCTGCTTTGCCTCTCTTCATTCTCATTCTGTGGCTATTACGCTTTCATCAAGGTGGCTCAATTTTTTTATTTCCACCTATTGTCAGGCCCAGGATTACCATATAGGGGTAGAGAGTAGGTTGGCCAGGTGCAAGAGAAATCCAAATTGTTCTGCATGTGTGAGGCTGACCTTGGCTGGATCTGGGAGATAACCTTGCCCCAGCTGCAGGGACCACCTCCCAGTCTTCCTTGCGGAGTCATGATGAGGCTGCGTGTATTCGATGCTCACCTGTGACTATAAAACCTGTGGGCAATGTAGCAGGATGGTGCCAGGGCGTTACTATGAAACTGTATCTGTAAACTGAAAGTTAGACCAAGGTTTCATTGCTTCACTTTTTTCAACCACATAAAGTAATTGTGCTGGGTTTTAGAAGGTGGAGCTGGGGACCTAACAGGTTAATCAAGTCGTACATCTGAACTTCCTAAAACCTGACATCTCTCGCCCTACCCTGGCAGAGCGCCATCAGGAGAAACTAGGAGACTCGAGAAGCCACTTCACTAACATCCTCATCGTGATCTCTCTAAGAACGCCTGCTGATGATGCAGCCTCTGTGCTTCCCACACTCAACAGTAGCTGTGTTAGAGGCACAGGTAAAAAGGCCCGTTTTCACCAGCCTCCAACCAAGGCATCTGCAGGGACACTTTAGCATGCCACCACACCAGACGGTGCTGCTGCCCCTTGGCTCTCTGTGGGCATGCAGCCCCGGAGATGCAAGACCCTCTGCAATTTCAGGAGTAGACAAAAGTCCGGATCTTCATGCCAATACTTCTGATTTTTTTTTTTTTTTTTTGAGACGGAGTTTTGCTCTTGTTGTCCAGGCTGGAGTACAATGGCATGATCTTGGCTCATCACAAGCTCCGCCTTCTAGGTTCAAGCAATTCTCCTGCCTCAGCTTCCTAAGTAGCTGGGATTACGGGCATGTGCCACCATGCCCGCCTAATTTTGTGTTTTTAGTAGAGAGGGGGTTTCTCCGTGTTGGTCAGGTTGGTCTTGAACTCCCCACCTCAGGTGATCTGCCCGCCTCGGCCTCCCAAAGTGCTGGGATTACAGGCATGAGCCACTGCACCCGGCCAATATTTCTGATATTTTAAGGAGATAATGAAAACTTCAAAAATGTTATTAAATGAAAAAACAATATGGCTAATTCCTGCAATCCCAGCACTCTGGGAGGCCGAGGTAGGTGGATCACCTGAGGTCGGGAGTTTGAGACCAGCCTGGCCACCGTGGCGAAACTTGTTTCTTCTAAAAATACAACAATTAGCTCGGCATGGTGGCAGGCACCTGTAGTCCCAGCTACTCAAGAGGCTGAGGCATGATAATTGCTTGGACCCCAGATGCGGAGGTTACAGTGAGCCCAGGTGATGCCACTACACTCCAGCCTCCAGCCTGGGTGACAGAGTGAGACTCCAACTCAAAAAAAGAAAAGAGAAAAGAGAAACAATAACAAAGGCTACAACAAAAACTCAACACCATGTGATTAAACTCCATCAGAGCCAAACCACATAGTCTGCAGGTCATGGCCATGGCTCACCAGCTCTGGGCTCCTCAGTTCTAAGATTCTGCTCTCCAGCTCCCTCCCACTGGTCATCAGTGTTGTGACTTGTGCCCTGAGTGACAGTCACATCTACTTTTGGAACATTACTTCCCCTATCTGCAAAAGGCAAGTCACCCCTACCTTCTCCCCAGATAAACATATCCTTGGGACTTTCCCCAGTGAACCAGCCCAGGCCCTGCCCCCTATACCTTGGAGATGGAGGCTGGGAGGTAAGAAAGACGCTGCACGCCTCTTTGCTTTGCTGCTTTCCTCTCCGGGGCTTTTCTCTGGAGGCCACACTGCTTTTAGAAGTCTATCCCTTCATCTACCACCCCTCGAACATCACTGACAGCAGGCCAGCACTCTCTCAGCTCTCTGGGATGGCATTTGTCTCATCTGCCAGCCTAGTGATCTGGCCAAGAGAGGAAGGAACTGGGTCTGTTGTGACCTGAACTTCGTCACCCATACCGTCACAGCTGGTGACCTAAGTTTCCTCCAACTCAAGGGGTGGTGCAGCTCCATTGAAGCCTCCTCTTCTCTCCTCCAGGCTCTGCCTGCCTCACGGAGAGCACATGGCCCTGACTACAGTGACGGAAAGAAGACCTGGGGTGGAGAGCTCCGCTTTCTCACCATCCTCTCTGCCTGGCTTCTCTAACATGTTAAAAACTCACGGTGGCTCCCATCTGTAATTTCAGCACTTTGGGAGGCCAAGGCAGGAGGATCATGAGGTCAGGAGTTCGAGACCAGCCTGAACAACATGGTGAAACTGTCTCTACTAAAAATACAAAAATTAGCCAGGTATAATGGCAGGTGCCTGTAATTCCAGCTACTCAGGAGGCTGAGGCAGGAGAATCACTTGAGCTGGTGAGGCAGAGGTTGCAGTGAGCTGAGATTGCGCCACTGCACTCAAGCCTGGGTGACAAAACTCACTTTTTTGCTGATATCTATGGCGCTTTTTTTTTTTTTTTTTTTTGCTGGAATCTATAGCTTTTGCTAGATAGACTTCGTTTATTTTAGCTTTTAGCCTTCCTGATATCATTCTTACAAATGTTGCCTGGGGACACTCTGTCCATTCATTTATTCAGCCAATACTTACTGAGCACCTATTTGGCAAGTACTGGGCAGCAATTGAGGATAAAACAGTGAAAAGTTAGGAAAGGCCTCTGATCTAACGGAGGGCCTGTTCTGCTGAAGACAGTTAAGCAAGACAATGTGACAGAGGATGCTGAGAATCCAGCAGGCAACTACTTACATGGGAAAATCAGGGAAGGTCCCTACAAAGGAGACATATCTACTGAAACCTCCATAAAGAGAAGCAGCCAACCATGCAAGGATTTAGAGGGAGAGCAGTTCTGGCAGAGGGGTCAGCAAAGAGAAAGGCTCTGAGGCAGAACGGAGCTTAGCATGGGAGGGGAACCTGGAAGGTCGGCTGGCTGGACTCCAGTGAAGTGGGGCTGAGATGAGGTCAGAGGAGGGCAGAGGCCAGATCCCCCTGGCCTTCTAGGTCAGGGTGAGGCTGGCTTGTACGAGTGCTAAGGCTGACTCTGATTTAGCCTGAGGTCGGTGTCCCTCTCAATCCCGACTCATTTGTGGTCCTCTATATAGCCCGCAGGCTTGCTGAAAGTGCCCCACTTCCTTCCTCACAGCAGCCTCTGCGCAATCCGAATTGCATAGTGAATTTCCCTGTCACTCAGGAGCCTGGGCAGGGCTTGACCCCTAATTCGGTTACCAGGAACCAATCTTCCCCCACCTTCCTGCCCTCACCCGCACTGGGTCTCCGTCTCTGCATCTGTGAAGTGGCTGAGCGCGTCCAAATGATGCAGGCAGCCTTTCCACTTCTTTTTACCCATGGCGCCTTGGAGTTTGATTGATAGAGGATGAAGGGACAGCGGGATCCTGGCGAGAAGTGAAACTGAAAGAAAAAATTCCTCCTGGCTCTAGGGAGGCCGGCAGAGGGGGTTTGGAGTAACAGGCAGAGGTAGAGGAGGAGGGAGGTTTTTAGAAAGCTGACCGGGCAGGAGCTCTGTGACCCAGGCTTTCACTTCTCCTAAACACCCAACTGCGCCATGTGATGCAGGCCGGCGACTGCAGATAGGGCCAGTGAAAGGGGAAGCCGGGGGAGCCCAGAGTTTCTCAAGAAGCAGAGAGAGGGACAGAGGCTGAACCTGGAGGGAGCGCTGGAGGGGCCTGGGAGGGGAGTGGAGGCAGTGGGGGTGAGGGGGACAGGGAGAGGTCGAGAAGACGGCAGGGGCAGCAGGGTCGCTGGGGTAGAGGGAGCCCCCACCCCACCCCAGGGCAGGCCAGGTGTCATAAGGAGAGGGGACAACAGGAAGGGGCAACAGACGGGGAGGCCAAGGGGAAAGAGGAGGCGGAGGGGCTTCGAGGTGGAGCAGTCAGGGTGGCAGTGTGAAGCAGAGGGGGAGCACGGAGAGGAAGGGTTAGGGGTGGGGGAAGGGGAGGGGGTTGAGGATTAGGGAGGAAGTGGTAGAGCCCGGGTAGTGAGCAGAGAAGGACTAGAAGGGTAGGGCAAAAAAGGGAGAGGGGACAGGAGAGGAGGGTGGGCCAAAGCGGTGGGAGAGGAGGGCCAGCCTGTTGGGTGGGGGAGAGGAGAGGAGAGCCACGGGGGGCCCAGCACGGAGCCAGGATGCCCGCGCCGCGCGCCCTGGGGGAGCAGCCCCGCGTGCCCCGGGAGCGTCGGCCGCTGCTGCCTCGCGGCAGGCGGGGCCCTCGACGGTGGCGGCGGGCGGCGGGAGCCGCGGTGCTGCTGGTGGAGATGCTGGAGCGCGCCGCCTTCTTCGGCGTCGCCGCCAACCTCGTGCTCTACCTCAATAGCACCAACTTCAACTGGACCGGCGAGCAGGCGTCGCGCGCCGCGCTGGTCTTCCTGGGCGCCTCCTACCTGCTGGCGCCCGTGGGCGGCTGGTTGGCCGACGTGTACCTGGGCCGCTACCGCGCGGTGGCGCTCAGCCTGCTGCTCTACCTGGCCGCCTCGGGCCTGCTGCCCGCCACCGCCTTCCCCGACGGCCGCAGCTCCTTCTGCGGAGAGATGCCCGCGTCGCCGCTGGGGCCCGCCTGCCCCTCGCCCGGCTGCCCGCGCGCCTCACCCAGCCTCTACTGCGCGCCGGTCCTCTACGCGGGGCTGCTGCTCCTCGGCCTGGCCGCCAGCTCCGTCCGGAGCAACCTCACCTCCTTCGGGGCCGACCAGGTGAGTGGGTGGCGGGAGGCCTGCCCCGGCCGACTCCCGCGGGTGTGGAGGGAAGGAGGGCTGGCCCCCAGCGTGACCCGGCACACACCACTTCCCCTGCCTGCGCCTGGTTTCCTGAAGAAAGAGGGGTGCTAGCCCTTGCAGAACATGGCAACCGCAGTGGGAACAACCATGGCCGGTTTTTTTTTTTTTTGAGACGGAGTTTCCCTCTGTCGCCCAGGCGGCAGTGAATGGTGCCATCTCAGCTCACTGCAGCATCCGCCTCCCTGGGTTCAAGCGATTCTCCCGCCTCTGCCTCCTGAGTAGCTGCCACTACAGGCGCCCGCCACCACGCTTGGCTAATTTTTGTATTTTTTTTTTTTAAGATGGGTGTCACCATGTTGGTCTTGAACTCCTGACCTCAGGCGATCCGCCCGCCTCCACCTCCCAAAGCGCTGGGATTACAGGGGTGAGCCACTGTGCCAGGCTGGTTGGTCTTCTTTGAGCTGCTTGTAGTCCCTATGCTAAGCACTTTCACTGCTTAACTCATTCAATCCTCTTCACTACCCAGGAGGTAGGAATTATTATGCCCGTTTTACAGAGAAAGACGCTGAGGGGTTTCATGGCATTAATCAACTTGTCCAAGGTAACCTGGAGAGCAGGTGGAGGAGCCGAGTCAGGGCAGCTGGACTCCGGGTCCCACCATGAGCCCCGTCTCGGTGTGTTATGGGGATGTGAGTGCAGGGCAGCAGCCAGCCAGCCTCTTCCCACTAGCAGAGCTGGAGGTTGTCAGGCCAACTTGCTCAGATGCCAGCTCTGCCCTTCACTAGCTGGAGGCACATGGGCAAATAGCTCAACTTCTGAGCCTCCCTCTGTTCCGCCTTGGACAGAGCATGGTATATAGAAGAAATTTAATACATATCTGCTCAGTAAATGAGTAAATGCCAACAACACGGCTCTATTTTGATAGCTGTGCCCAGTGGGATACTAGGCAATCATTTCGACTAAAGTGTAATAGTATCAAAATGACCACATATGGTGTGAATGAGCAAAAGCAGGATACAGGTCCTCGTACAGATAGGAGCACAGCTGCGTGGAAAGACGAGGTGTCCACGAAAGGAAACGAGAAAGACCGTCACAGTAGTACGGTCAGGACACTGGACACATTGCACTTTTCTCTTAATTGTCTCAGTTTTTTAAATGTTCTTTGATTGCATATGTTATACTCATAAAAGGGACATTTTTCAAGAGGATCATTTCATCCCATTGGAACCCACAATTCAGCACCCAGCAGTTTTCAGTGTCCTTGACAAGGAGTCACTTGTCCAGCTTGTTTAGGATCCTTTGATGATGATGACTTTGTGCCCCGGAACAGCCCTGGTCTTTTTCTTCTTCTTTTTTTTTTGAGATGGAGTCTTGCTCTGTTGCCCTGGCTGGAGTGCAGTGGTGCCATCTCAGCTCACTGCAAACTCCACCTCCCAAGTTCAAGCAATTCTCCCTACCTCAGCCTCCCAAGCATTTGGGATTACAAGCACCTGCCACCACACCTGGCTAATTTTTGTATTTTTTTTAGTAGAGACGGGGCTTCACTGCTTGGCCAGGCTGGTCTTGAACTTCTGGCCTCAGATGATCCACCTGTCTCAGCCTCCCAAAATGCTGGGATTACAAGCATGAGCCACTGCACCCGGCCAACCCTGGCCATTTCTTACTTGTTGACGTTTCTTCAGACCTAGAGACCCCCAATATTTGTCAATGGGAATCTCTTCCCTTAATCCTATTCTTTCATTGATATGCCACTAACACCCCCAATCCAGTACCCTTAACCTGTCCTTGACCCTACTGACCTCCAGAGAGCCTCACCCATCCAGTGCCCCCTGTGGCAAAACTGGTCTTCTGGAGGCCAGGCCACTGAGCAGAGCCTCTCATGGCACCAACAGTGGCAGCAGTACATTCTCCCTTTGGCTGGGCAGGAGCTTTGGGTGGAGCAGGGGCAGGCTGCAAGGCTGCCTGGTGAAGTCAGGACCTGACCCCAGGACAGTGCGGAAGCACCGAAATGGTATGAGGCAGGAATGGACATCACTGGATGTGAGTTCTTCAAAAATGGCTCTGGCTGCAGTGTAGACAGCGTATGGGTTAACAAGAGTGGATGTTTCACAACAGGGAGGAAGCTGCTGCAGGATTCAGGGGGGCAGTCAGATGGGGGATGTGGGGGCGGGTGGGACTGGTACCATCTGGCAACAGCTATACTCCAGGAGCTGCATGTTTCACACACTTGCTGGTTTCAGAAAGACCATCATCCATCACTCTCCACAAAGTGTCTGCTCGTTCCTAAAAGAGCTCATTTATATCCTGAATGGGCTGCCTGGTCTTCCCCCTTAGTTACAATAGTCATATTCATTTACTTCCAATTAATAAATTCAAGTGGCTGCTTCTAATGGGACCTATTTAGTTTTTCTGCTTGAAAGTCTACAGCAAGAATTATCAGCGAGCTGGCATGCCCTTCCCGCCCCATTGCCAGAAGGACCCTTCAGAATCTCCAATGGAATGCAGTTTTAAGTGCGTCTGTGTAGACTATGATTTTACATTTGAAAAGGGAAGAAAAAAACTTATCTTTTCCCCAATGCAACTACAGAAAGTAAAGTATGACAAAATCTCCTTAGCTAGTGGAGCTAAAAATCTCTAGGTGGAAGGCAGTAATGAATCCTGAGATTTGCAGGGGTATCGAAAGGGTGGCTGGTTTAGCAATGTAGAGAAGCATTTATTCTCTCCATTAAAACGGCCCCCAGTCCTCACTGCTTTTGTAAATGCAGATGCCCAGGTCCTGCCCCAGACCTGCTGAGTCAGGATCTGACACCTGGGTCTGCGAGATTTGGGGGCAGCCAGTGCAGCTGACCGGAGCTAACGGACCAGAAGGGGCCTGGGGCCTGGCTGTTGCTGATTGATCCAAATCCTGGGTAAAGATTTTCAGCCCATCTGCCCTTGCTGGGAGGCCTGAAAAAAATGTTTTTTTTCATCAGCCCGGAACTCGCTCTTGGGGCTGTGCCTTGGACCATCTCTGCCTTATATCAGAGGGACAAAAGTTGGATGAAAGGATGGGTCACAGTAGGCTTCTCTGCTTGCCTCTCCGAACTGCAGGAAATCCTCACTCACAGTCCTGTTCTTTCAGTAATGTGTGTACATCATTTTTAATAATGTGCAACAAAACAGAGATCTTTACTGGCTCTTTCTTCTGATGATAAAAGTAATGAGTAGTGTAGGTTGCTCAGTCAAAGACAAAGGGATAAATCAACCAGAAATGAACAAGTGGCACCCGAGACATCTGTTATATGGGCTTCTCTGTGACAATAAAAAAGCGATGTGTGTCATGGGTATGCAAAAGCAGCTATGCCAAATGTCCTGATCTTTAGCAAGTGACTCTCAAGAGAAGGATTCATTCATTCATTCATTCAGCAAATATTTATCCAGCATCTATTTACTGATCAGAGACTAGGAAAGTGTCAGAACACCCACCACTCACTGACCCAAGAATTGTCTCTGTAGGAGGGAGGGGTACGGGTACGGAGAGTGTCCCGGACCCCTTGGGCCCTCACAGTCGTCCCTTCCTGACTGGCAGGTGATGGATCTCGGCCGCGACGCCACCCGCCGCTTCTTCAACTGGTTTTACTGGAGCATCAACCTGGGTGCTGTGCTGTCGCTGCTGGTGGTGGCTTTTATTCAG